AGTGTTTGAGGTTAAGTGGATCGCTCCAGTAATGCCTCATGTGCTTCGCACATGCTGGGAGGATGGGAAAGAGTTGTTTCCTCGGGCCGGGAGGGGGACCCAGCAGTTTCCCGTCATAAATGTCCTTTTCCTGGTCGGTGGCGCTCTGTGGATCCGGCCGCTCGCGATGAGCTGTTCCCAGGAGGAGCGGCAGATTAAGAGAGCGTCATATCGGCAAAAAAATCCGTGGCGGGCAGCCGTGGAAGGGGAACAGGTGAGATAATGCAAGAGCATTGGCAGCTCAAGACGCAAAACACAGCTAACCTTGGCTGAACAGAAGACTGTCACGTCTGGCGGAGGCTGATCTAGTGATATTTCCTCTTAAAGACACGTAAGTGAACAGTGAACAATCCAGCTGAACTGTGTTAGTACAGAGATCGTGAGAAGCGAATGTCAACTGGAGAACAGCAGTGCATGCAGGCTTTATATGCTCTCAGGTAAGGGGGTGGGCCTTACCGAGCACTGGCTGCGTGCTTCTGTCTGTCTAGCCAGACTTGGTGCAATTGGATGCTTCTGCAGAGGGCAGGTACGGATGCCCTTCCCATAGGTGGATATCGAACACGAGATGATGCAAGATAACTAACTTTACCGCTCTTGGTTTTCTATGGGAGAAAAAGGTTTAGTGGTCTAATAATCTTTGTGGTTTGTGTTAATATTCTGGACTCATATGCTTATCTGTACATAGTATATTTTATTAATTAGACACCAAATTTGGTCATTTATTATGAGGCAATAAACCACGTTAAGTGTTTTCTTTATGTGAAATGTTTAACGTGCAGTATTCTGGTTTCATCTGCTTGCCTGTATATAGTTTGCATCATCAGTAAGGTGTATTCTGAGTTTGGTCTTTTAATAAGCTATCATGTTAGTCCACTGAACCGTATGAAGCGTTTTCCTTTTCTGAGGGATCTGAGGGAAATCGCGTGAAACCTTGCGCGTTACTTTTATATTCTGAGTACATCTGCTTGTTTGCATCATTTGCATCATCAGTAAGGTGTATACTGAGATCTGAGGTCTTGTTTACGTCACTATATTAGTTCATTGAGGCGCGTTAAGCGTTGTTGGGGAATCCTGGAGTGTGACGTCAGAGGGAAACCCCAGTATTACAACTCAGCGTCACACAAGCCATGATATAAAGTTAAGGAAACTAAGCAACCGAAAGCAATAT